CAGAGCATACATGATTTTCTTGACATTTTTGTGATTTGCTGGAGCTTTTGCTGTTGGGTTTTCTCTCCTGGTGTGTTCATTGGTTTTAATATGGCTACCCCTTTTGACATAGTGATTGATGCTCAGTGGGCTAAGGCTACTTATGCTGGGGTGGTGGGCAAGTCTAATGTTTCTCTTAATGATCCTGATCATTTAGTCCTCCCACAGAACTTCCATGACACAGGTGCTGGAAAGGGTAACAACCCTTGTATTCATCCTTTGGGTTCCAAAGAAGGTGAACCAGCTGTTTATTTATATCCACATGAAATCCACAAGAAATCCACAATCTAAATGAACAAGTGAAGTTTACCTTGGTAGGAACATTTCTTCTAGGCCACCCTAAAATGGAATTAATCAGAAACTAATTTGCTTCTTTAAAATTCAATGGAGATTGGCAGATTGAAATACTTGATGGTAGGAATCTACTTATCTAACTTTCAGGTGAGGAAGACTATGTAAGATTTTGCAAAACAAGCTCTTCAAATTGGAGGTACCATCATGAAGATATTGAAGTGGGATTCTGGTTTCGATCCTAGTAAGGAACCTCCTATAGTTCCCCTATAATTTAAATTACCTGGCCTTCCATTTCAATACTTCAACCTCCATGCTCTATTAAATATTGCAAGTGCACTAGGGAGACCTCTGAAGGTTGATGCTCTTACATATAACAAAGCTAGAACTACTCTTGCTAGAACCCTTATAGAAAGAGATGTAACTCTCCCTAAAATTAAAAAGCTTTGAATTGGTACTGATAAAAAAAGGTTCTGGCAGAATGTGGTATTAGAATAGAAACCATATTATTTCTACCAATGCAAGATGTTTGGAAACACCAAAGATAGATGCTTCAGGCTTCACCCCCCTCCAAAGAAAAATGTGTTTACTCAGGAGAAGATTAATCAGTCCACTCCTCCAGAACCTACAGTTTGTGTGGAACCCTCTCCAACTGTGAATTTGGAGGATATATTGGGCACATCCAAAAGCTCAATAGCTCCTTTTAGGTCCAATGCTCTTACTAACTTATCCCCAAGACACTTCAGAGAGGAGGAAATCAAGTATATATTATTACTCCCCTAACTGATTCACTAGGGTGAGGAGACATCTAGGGAGAATAAACAGAAGGATATCACAGTCTTAGAAGCCCCTGAGAAGAGCGATATAGCTAAGATGAAGCTCTTAATGGTAGAGGAATGGCAAACAAAAAAATCTAAGAAGAAGAAAAATTTATTATCAGAAGTTCAGAAACTAAAAGAAGGAAACAATGGGAGCACAGGTGTACTGAAGATTGGAGGGCCTTCTCCTTCTAGAGGAAGGACCAGATCAAGATATCAGCCTTCTCTCCACTTTAATCCCTCCAATGATTAATATTCTATGTTGGAATAAATAGGGAATTTTCCATCACTAGTCTGTAAGAAGACACATCTATCTCAACAAAAAATACAAACTTTGGTGTTTAGATATACTAGAACCAATGGTTCAGTAAAACTAACACAAAATCATTCGCAAATTTCATGGATTTTGTCATTATGCTAACTAGAATAACAAAATTTGGTTCTTTTGTAGGAAAGAAATATAGTAGAGTACTCTTATTGACCATCCACAGTTTATACATCTCTCTTTATTGATTCAAGGCCACCTGGAGTATGCAACTTTCATTTATGCTGGAAGTCTCAAAGCTAATAGACAGTAGCTTTGGGAGGGCTTACATCTCATCAGTACTAATATGAACTCTCTCTGGATGGTTGGGGGAGATTTTAGTTGTATCACTTCTGCAGCAGAGAAATCTGGGGGGAGACCTCATAATCTGTCCAAAATGACTTTCTTCAATGATCAGATACAACAAGCTGACTTGTTTGATTTGGGGTATCAGGGTCCTAAATTCACTTGGAAAAGGGGTTTATTGTGGGAAAGACTTGACAGGGTGCTAGTGAATGACTGTTGTCATAAGCACTATCTGCTAACTTTTGTTACTCACCTAACACTCACTAGTTCTGATCACAGACCTCTTCTTATATCTATTACTTCCCCTAGCAATATCACATATCACCCCCCTTTTAGATATCTTAATATGTGGTCCACTCAACCCCTATTCATCAGCTGTGTTGCTTCTAATTGGATGGATATTGACCATACTGACCCTTTCATCAAACTTAGCCTCCTTCATCTGAAAACAAGCAAAAATTGAGAAAGTGGGGTTGGTAGACTTTTGGGAATGTTTTTTCCAATGCCTTATCTACTGAAAAGGATGTAGAGAAACTTGAAGCTGTTGTTCAGAATGAAACTGCCACTAAGACTGATCTGCTCACTGCCCAGACTAATCTGCTCAATGCTATTGACATACAAGATCTCTTACTCAAACAAAAAGCTTCTATTAATATTTTTACTGAAGGTGACAGAAACACTAAGTTTTAACATGCTTATATTAGATACAAGAGGAAGTGCAATACCATTCACTCTGTTTACTCTTTTGAGGGTAGATGGATTAATGACAATGATCTTATTTCTTTGGATGCTGTTAAGTACTACAGCTCCTTACTGTACTCTTCAGTTGATCTAAATACTGATTATGAAAACTATTTTACTGAAGAATTAGATTACACTAATCAACTCAAACTCACTGAACCCCCTTCTGATGATGAAATTTGGGATGCCTTAAACACCATTGCCAGCTCCAAATCAGCTGTCTTTAATGGTTTTAATGCTGACTTTTTTAAAAAAGCTTGGCACATTATTAAAAAGGAGGTAATTGAGGCTATCAAGAGTTTCTTCAGGGGGGTCAATCTCGTCAATCTCCCAGAGATACTTCTACTGTGCTAACTCCTAAAGGAGATCTGCAGAAGACTTGGGAACACTACAGGCCTATCAGCCTTACGTTTGTCATAAGTAAACTCATCAGCAAGATCATAGTAAGAAGACTCCAACTTCACCTTGACAAGATTATATGCCCAAACCAGACTGCATTCATTAAAGGGAGATCCATACTGATAATGTGTTACTGGCACAAGAACTTATTCTGGATTTGGACAAAATCAGTAGGGGGTAATCTTATGTATAAACTAGATATTAAAAAACCTTATGACACCATTGATTGGAAATTTATTTTGGGGATTCTTGCTGCGAGAGGTTTTCAACCCGATTTCTGTAAACTCGTCCACAGGTGGCTCATTAAAAACAAGAATTCTATTCTTATCAATGGCAAAGCCTGGGGTTCTTCAACAGCTACCGAAGGGTTCAAACAAGGCGACCTAATCTCCTCCCCTATCTTTATTATTGCTAGGATTACTTCTCTAGAATGTTAGACAGAGTCATCCTCAACCAACAATATTCAACCAACAATATTCCAGATATTCCAGATTTCATCACAAATCCACTATGGCTATCTCCCACCCCATCTTTGCTAATGATATTATGATATTCTCTAATGTTTATAAAAATGTAGTTAAAAAAGTCTACCAATGTCTGAAATAATTTCAGAGCTACTCTAAGATGGAGTTTTGACCTACTAAATGCCAACTTATCTTTAACAAGAGGGCATCTTCCAATTGTAAACATTGGGTCTCTGATTATACTGGTTTTTCCATTGCTAAAGACCCTTTAAAATATTTTGGGGGTTCATCTCACTTGAGGAGATCTAAGCTAACCCAATTTGATGAGTTTTTTTCAGAAAATTCAGAAAACCTTATCTAGATGGTCCCATTCTTTCCTTTCCATTGGGGGTAGAATTACTCTACTCGGAAGTATCTTAACTACCTTCCCCTCATATATCCTCCAAACCAATTATATGAAGAAAAGCATTCAAATTCAGTTGGAAAGAGTCTTTAATAGATTCTTGTAGGCAGGTCAAAGGCAGCAGCTCCACTGGGCTTCTTGGCAAAAGACAGCTAAACTTAACATGGCAGGTGGGGGTTCAAGGGACTTCAACAAATCACACAGATTAATTTCTGTAAGATGTGGATCAATTTCAAAGCCCAAACTCCCTATGGGCTAAGTTCATGAAAGGAAAGTACTGCAAAGGAAAACATCCATCTCTCATCTCCAAAAAGCTGGGGGACTCTAGAATTTGGAGTAATATGCTTAAAATAAGATACCTTGCTGAAGAAATGTACATTTGGGATCTGGGGAATGGTCAAGTGAACTTCTGGCTAGACCATTGGTGTCCTAAAGACTAGCTAGGGGCTCCACCCTCTGACTTCAACCCTCACCTTTCAGTTTGTGATCTTTGGGAGGGGTACTCCTGGTCTATTACTAAGCTCCAATCCATTATACAGGACCTCCACCAATCTCAAGTTACTACGATTGCTTTTGATAAGGGTAGAAAAGAAAGAATTATCTGGCATAGCTATGCGAACTAAAGTTTGACTAAAGCCATCTATGCCAAACTTTTTAGTTGGGATCAAGTCCCCTGGGGTGTGAAGCCATTTGGAACAGATATCTATCCCCCTCTATATCATTCTTTTTTTGGAGGTCTTTTTTTGGAGGTCTATATCATTCTTTTTTTGGAGGTTCTTCAACAATCTACTGCCAACTGATGATATTCTTAAACTTAAGGGTTTAGGAGGGCCTTTTAGATGCTATCTTTGCCGGAGATTTGAAGAGGACAACAACCATCTCTTCTTTAACTGTGAGTTTGCTCAAGAGGTGTGGAAGACACTTCTTACTAAGATTAAAGTTGAGGGCTTGGATAAGGAATGGTCCAATCTCAAAGATGGATGGGACAGCTGGAAAAGTAAGAAAGGTGATTCTATCCCTTTTATTGTGGCCTGGTTCTTGTGGATGTGCAGAAACAACAAAAAACATTAAGACAAGCTTATTCATCATTCCAAGGTTACTAGAAACTGTGCTTCCAACTTAAACTAGCTGATTCAACTTAACAACTTCCTAATATCAGTTTGCCTTAGACTACCGTAACCAAAAGTCATAACAAGATTGAGAAAGTTTTTTGGCAACCCCCTGATCAACATACCATGAAGATTAATACTGATGGTAGCTTTTCTGAATGGGGTGCTGCGTGGGTGGGGGGGGGTTTCAGAGATTCCTCCAGCAAATGCCTATTGTTCTTTCATGCTCTTACTGAGGCACATGATGCTCTGGAAGCTGAGCTTATTGCTGTTTACTGGGCCCTTACCTTTGCACTGAAATCTGCATGGTATAAACTGTGGATTGAGGTGGACTCTATTCAACTGATTATTTTCCTCAACACTGAACAACTATCCTCTTGGCATCATATACATTGGAAACAGAAAATTGGCAATCTCAACAAGCTGTTTAAAGTCAATATGTCTTTTATCTACAGAGAAGGAAACCAACCTGCTAATTGGCTTGCCAGACATGACCTTTATACTAACTCCATTTCTGTTGCAACAAGGCCCCCCACCCCTCTTGCTCTCCTACATCATGATGATAAGTTGGAGACTTCTCATCTAAGAATCAAAGCTAATCAACTTAAAGATCTCTAGTTTTTTGGGGCTTCCTCATCTCTTTTTATCATTATTTAGTTTTTTCTATGTTCTTGTATGTTATAATTTTTAGGATTGGTCACCCTCTTGGTGTCATTTATATTTTGGTTTATAGTTAGGGGACCTGTCCAGTGGAATCTTTTGTACTGTTTTTAATGATCAACATGAATGGAGCCGAATAATGCTCCTTCCACCAATATATATATATATATATATATATAGATATGCATGGAGCCTACAAAAATTTATGTGAAAGAATACATGGCGGGCAGTAAAATATAAAAAAATTTGGCATAAATCACTTTTTTTTTTTGGGAAGATTGACGTGGATACCAATTAATTCCAATATATTTACAAATATAACATATATGTTAGGTATGACTCATATACCAAGAAATTTGGAGTATCTTGAAATGGAGAGGTGTGTCTCCTGGAATGAAAATGAGTCTCTTGGTGTGAAGAAGTGTGTCTCTTGGATTGGTTCCTTCCAAAGTAGGTGGCGGGATTTCGATTCCGGCGACTGATAACTTCCAATATGCAACTCCTTAAATATAAATATGTGGTAGACGGAGCATTATATAGCGGTAGAAGGAGCATTATACGACCCCCTACATGTTAATGAGTGAAAGAATAGTACAATGGACTCAAAAGGAAAGGTCCTCTTTCTAGAAACCAACATACATAGTGAATCACACCCAAAATGGTGTCCTAAACAAAAAAAAAACTAGCCATACAATAGACAAGGAAAGGGAAAGAAAGGAAAGAAAGGGATATATATATATATATATCTGTGTAAAAGGTATATACATATATATGTAACAATTTATTAAAACTAAAACACTAGAAACAATGGGAGAGGCAGTAGAGGAGTGGTAAGGTCTTCTGGTGGAGTGACCATAGAATTCACAAGGGTTGTTGGCCTTCATTATGAGATGTGGGGCCTCAATAGTATCACCATAAAGCAGGAGGGCTAGTGGGGTGGGGGGCCCGGTGGCAACAGATATAAAACTTGAATGGAGTCCTTTGTCAGGCTAACCAATTGGCAGGTCTGTTTCCCTCCCTATAAATAAAGGTCATGTGGAAGCAAAGGGAGTTCTTAAGATTTCTGATATTCTATCTCCAATAAGTGTGGTGCCAAGAGGATTGGTCTTCAAATTCCAAAAAATTGACGAGTAGAATAGAGTCAACCTCAAGCCAAATGTTATACCATTCATCTTTTTTATCAAAAGTTAAAGCCCAAAAAATAGCAATAAGCTCTGCCTCAAGAGCATCTCTAGAATTAGTGGGGGCATGGAAGAATAGTAGGCACTTGCTAGAGGAGTCCCTAAAAACTCCCTCACCCCAGCACCTCAATCAGTGAAACTTCCATCAGTATTGATCTTTATAATTGATTGTACAGGGGGTTTCCAATAAACTTTCTCAATCTTGAAAGGCTCTCTTGTATCAGTGATCTTGAACTTATAGATATTGGGGAAATTTTTGTACCGAATCAGATTAGTTAAATAAGAGATACAATTTTTAATGACTTTGTGGTTCTGAACATGTTTTCCTTCATGTTTAATACTGTTCTGGACATCCAAAGAAACCAGGCCACAATGAAAGGAATGGTGGCACACTTGCTTCCTTTACAGCTTTGCCAACTTCCAATAAGATTTGACCAATCCAAATCAAATCCATTCACAGTGAGCATGTCCAACAAACCTAACCAGACATCCTGGGCAAACCTACCCTGATTTGGAAGGAAAGAAGTCCAGATGGATAAGTGTGTATGAATCTTTTGAAAGATATCATCAAATTGGATTTGCTTGGATCTGCCAAATATAAGATTAACCCCAAATATTTTATGGGAGGATATATATATATATATATATATATATATGATAGAAGGAGCATGATTCGGCTCTCTACATGTTGAGAGCCGCTCATGGCTCTCTACATGTTGATAAGGTAAAAATTATTACGAAAAACATTACAGAAATGAAGTTAAAAGAGAACCCCTCCAAAAACAAAAAAAAAACACAAAGAAAGGGGTCCAGAGGCACCTACAACTCAGAAACTCAACCAGTAGTTACAATTCTAAGGTAAGGGATATGCTTTTGATCCTTTTTAAGCAAGCTGGCAAGGGGTTTTGAGGGTTTGATGGATGCATTGATTCTCTGTGACACTCCTCCTTCCATTGTCAGGAGGTTAGCAGGTTATTTGCCCTCTCTATATACGAATGGGAATTCCACGTTGATCTTTTTACATACTTGTTTCAGCTTGATGAACCACTGTTGTATAAGTCATGGGGGAACAGCTCTTACCGTCTTGTAATCCACCAGTTGGGAGGAATATATCTCAGCAATTAAATATTTCCACCTATTCATTTCAGTAATTTTAATAGGCCAATATAGTGCCATGGTCTCTGCCTCTATAGCATTTCTTACATATATGGGTGCTTGAAAGCTGAGAATGCATATGCCCTGTGATCTCTGAAGACTCCTCCAATACCAACCTTGTTTGGGGAGAAGTTGTCATCTGTGTTTACCCTTATGAAGGGGTGCTTAGGTTACTCCCATATGACCTTAGTAATCTTGCAGTTTTTTTGCTCCTCATTTCTATTGATATGCAAAATATTGTTGAGATTTTTCCACTATATTAGTTTCCTGATGTAAGTCAAACAATTTAACACTACCTTAGTAGTGTTAGCCTCCACATTCTCATGTTTACTCTGATTTCTAGCAGCCCATATGAACCATGCAATGATGAGTGGGATGGAACTTAATTTTGGTTTATGCCATTCTGCCATGCTCTTTTCCATGTTGCTCCAGCTTAGGTTTATAGTGTTGACATGAATAGAAGGTTGCAGGGAGCTCCACACCTTCCTAAAAAAGCTGCAATTGTAGAACAAGTGATTTGTTGATTCCATATCATTTCTGCATAGTACACACATAGAGGGACCTTTCAGCCCTTTTAATTTCAAAATGTCATCAGTAGGTATCAATTTGTTCAACACTCTCCAATTAAAAAAGGACATTGATGGGATTAAGTATTTGTTGCACAACAGTTCACTTCCAGGGCTGGTATCCCACTGATACAATTTTTTACATATGGCTTTGGAAATGCTTTGAATCGAGTTAGAAATAGGGGCCACCTTATCAGTTTTAGACCTATCAAATTGTACTGTGGTCACTTGCTCCACAGAATTATTCTTTAGTATGTTCTGCAGAAATTCCATAAACCAAGATTGCTCACTCTAACATCCCTTCACCAGCAAGTTGCTCTTCTTGCTTTCCCCCAGAGGTTCCTTGAACTCTTCAGGACACCAGTTATCCTGCCAGAAGCTGTGTTTCCATGTTCCAGCTCCCAAATGTATAATTATATAGCCTTGTATTTTTATTTGAGCATTTGTCCCCAAATTCTGGAATCCTCCATCTTTCTGGTCACCAAATTGGGATGGTCATTCCTGCAGTACTTTGCATGTGTAAACTTAGCCAAAAGATATATATATATATA